TCTTAAGATTGCCAGGTTCTTGCTTAAACTCTGAAGTTTAAATTACATCAGCACTAGCTCTGATAGTGCTGCACAGCAGTGGGCATGTCCCCCTTTGTTAATTTGCTCCCCGGTTTCACTGAATAAAATATTCTTCCTGGCAGGGACGGTGCCTGGCAGCGCTCAGGAACACAACGGCCATGTCCCAGCTATGGGCAAACCTACAGGGTCCCTCAGCTGGTGGTGGCACCTCCTTCACGCTCTGCCTCCTCCATTGATGCCTTCTCTCCTCCTCTTTAGGAGGAGAGAATACAGGCTTTAAACTACAGGTGACAGTGACCTGGGTAAAGAATGGACCATCATCCAGGTGGGGACCTGGGAAGACTTTGAGATTAATCAACTGCAAGCTTCAAGACACTGAAATGACAAGTCTGCATCCTTCCACGGGCTAATCCCATACATCCATGTAGAACCCATGTAAATCCATACATCCTCTCCATGCTTGACCCAGGCAGAAAGAAGTGGGGCTTGAAAGAGATAGAAAGAACCAAGGGGAGGCACCTCAGCCCTCTCCATTTCACAGACTTTGTGCCAGCATTCATCAGTGAGGCCACGTCCTCCTCTGGCCTATGTGAGCAGAAAATGGGACCTACTGACTGGACCTCTCTATCAGTGCTTTTTCCACAACTTCTTCCTCATTTACTGCATTTTCGGCTGCCCAGATGTGACTCCCATCTGCAACAAGGTCTTTATGTACAAGCAGCCCACTAGCCATAGAGCTTTTCAGCTTTAATATTCTGCCATCTTTTTTCAGGGCCAGGGTCTCAGAAGTTCATGCTCCAGCCTCCCCACCATGAGCTCCCTGTCTTTCTACTCATAATTCAGTTCCTTTGTAGCCAAGAAGGCAAATGGAAATAACGTGGCCCTCACTGCTTCTTTGTACTCTCCAGTCCTCTATTTCCTTCCCCTGTCTCTATATCTATGGGAGATGAAGGAAGGAGAAATGGCAGCAGCTGTACAAGTGTTTCTTCACATCAACAGAAAGAGAACAGCAGTTACAGAATAGGAAAGCCGAGTAGAAATAGAAAATAGATAAAGCTGGAAAACTGAGAAAGTAAAAGAAGGAATAGAAAAATGAAGCCATTAATTTTGTTTTCTTTTGTATCAATAGAAATTGTTTTACTTCCAGTCTTAAGCCCAAAGACAGGAGATGAACTGGAAATCCTGAAGCATGGAACTGGGCAGATAATAAGGAAACAGAGAAAGGGAGGCGTTGAGACCGAGCACGAGCCTCCCTTTTAAAGCTCTTACTGGGGTGCTTACACCTATTGCTTGTGCTCATAACAAAACATCTGCAGAAACATCAATAGGGATTGTCACGTGCATTCGTGAGGTTCTGCCCAGTCCCTCAGCAGAGCAACAGAAGGAGCAGTGCTGCAGAGCCCCCGCAGTAAACAAAATTCTGTTTTGTCCTGGATTTAGAACAGCGTCTGAATGATTAGATGAGGAACAACAGAGCTGCGGGGGAGAGAGGGAGGGGTGGACCTTTTCCTTTTGACAATTAGATGTGAGCTGTTGAAAGCTGCTTTCATGGATGAATGCATAGAGAACTAAGGACGTCTGGCGACTGATTTGTTTGATTAGTTTATTGTATACTAAAATTTCACTCTCACTTAGGAAGCAGGCCTGTCGCAGGAGTTGGACTTCACAGTTGTTTGAATTCTCTGCCAAAACCCCTCAGAACCGCAGAAGTCTGAAGAGGACCTCAAGTAGGGCACAGACAAAGCCAGCGAGGCAGGAGTAACGGAGCTAATCAAAAAGTATCAATCTGGGCACTTCACAGTTTCATGGGGTCTGATTTGCAGGCAGCTTAGCATCTGTGTATTCCAGCAGGTCCTGAGTGCTCAGCTGTTGTGAAAATCAGGTCTAGAGAGTAGGGGGGTTCCGAGGTTGAGTTGTCTCCATCCTGCTGGTCTGACTGGCTTCTGGTGGGGCAATGATGACATCCAGTGGGGAAACTCCTGAATTACCGCAGTATTTTATACGTGGAATGAGCTGGTGCTGCTGCATCTGAAACTACAGTCAAAGGGTAAGATCCTGGAAAAAAAAAAATAACTTTCTCAAGGCTCTGTGTTATGATGAATGGCTCATCACTAAGAGTCTAAGAGCCTAAGAAGCCAGGAGGAGAGCAGCACAAGGTGTTTTTAAGTGTCTCTTCTTGCTAAGGGGAAAAAGATTTACTCCTTGGGGAAGCATTGGCAACAGCAACTCACTATGATTAATATTCACACTGGATTCTCGCTTCATTAAAGGCTTTGTTTAATTGTTTTTGGTTTTGTTCTAAATCTGTGACTCCCTCAACTTTTGGGGCATCTTAGGGCTTCTTAACATCCTTAACTTTCTATGAAATGTGTCATTTTAGTCGTTTGCCTCAGCGCTCTTTATTTGTGTCACTTGCCCCAGTGTTTGGTACAGGCCTGGGGCAGGGCAAGTTATCTGAAGCTTAAACTGGATTAGATGTTTATGGCATTAATTGGAAGCACCAACAAAAGAAGTGATACAGAAAGGACCATATAATCTAATAGAACTGAGGATGTGCCCGCCTTTTATAATTTCATTTTGCAGCCAGATCTGGGATCCCAGCCACTGCTAGGTGATCACATACCAGCTGCTTCCGAAAAATGTTCTTTTTTTTCCTCCAGTACGTAATCAAGAGACCAAGGGGATTTTCCTTCAGACGTGTACTTTGGTACTTTAATCCCCGCGTCATCATCAGCCCAGCACTAGATTGCTTCAATATGCTTTACAAGCAATTACACCCAACATCAATCAAGAAATTAAATTCTTCACAGAGCGCTGCAGTGTGCTGTGGCTGAGGATAGAAGCTCTGTGCCACTTCCCAGGCCCAGGCTGGACCCCAGCCCCTGCCAGGACGGGCTGAGGCCACTCAGTAGCAGCTCCCCAGGGCAGCCAGGCCTCAGGCTGTGGCCTGAGGAGACAGATCCCTATCTGGTCTTAAAAACAGCCTTAATAAGGCACTACAGGTGCTGAAGTGCCCTGACTGCATTTACTTTTTTGATTCTGCCAGTGATGACACATTTACCATAGAATCATAAGATGGTTTGGGTCAGAAGGGGCCTTAAAGCTCCAGCCCCTGCCAGGACGGGCTGAGGCCACTCAGTAGCAGCTCCCCAGGGCAGCCAGGCCTCAGGCTGTGGCCTGAGGAGACAGATCCCTATCTGGTCTTAAAAACAGCCTTAATAAGGCACTACAGGTGCTGAAGTGCCCTGACTGCATTTACTTTTTTGATTCTGCCAGTGATGACACATTTACCATAGAATCATAAGATGGTTTGGGTCAGAAGGGGCCTTAAAGCTCCTCTTGTTCCATCCCCCTGCCCTGAGCAGGGACACCTCCTACCAGAGGTTGCTCATAGCCCTGTCCAACCTGGCCTTGAACCCCCCCAGGGATGGGGCAGCCACAGCTTCTCTGGGCAACCTGGGCCAGTGTCTCAACACCCTCAGAGTGAAAAATGTCTTCCTGATATCTAAACTCAATCTCCCCTCTTCCAGTTTGAAGCCACTAGCCCTCATCCTATCACCACATACCCTTATATAAAGTTCCTCTCCAGCTTTCTTGTAGGGCCCCTTCAGATAATGGAAGGGGCTCTAAAGTCTCCCCAAAGCCTTCTGTTCTTCAGGCTGAAACCCCCCCAAACTCTCTCAGCCCCCTCTCACAGCAGAGGGGCTCCAGCCCTTGGAGCATCTCCATGGGCTCCTCCGGACCCGCTCCAACAGGTCCATGTCCTTCTGATGCTGGTGACCCCAGAGCTGGAGGCAGCGCTGCAGGGGGATCTCAGCAGAGCGGAGCAGAATCCCCCCCTGTCCTTGCTGGCCACGCTGCTGGGGATGCAGCCGGAGCAGAATCCCCCCCCGGCCCTGCTGGCCACGCTGCTGGGGATGCAGCCCAGGACGGGGGGCTCTTTCTGTGCTGCCAGCACACGTTGCCGGCTCGTGTGGAGCTTCTCACCCACCCACACCCCCGTCCTTCTCCTCAGGGCTGCTCCCAGTCCGTTCTCCGCCCAGCCTGGCTTTGTGCTGGGGATTGCCCCCACCGAGGTGCAGGCCCTCGCACTGGGCCTGGCTGACTCTCATGAGGCCGGTACAGGCCCACGTCTGCGGCATGTCCGGGTTCCTCTGGAGGACCCCCCTCCACCGCGCCATTTATGTCACTGCGCGACTTTTGCAACTTGACGGCCGTCCTTCTGCGGTGCGGAATCACCCCCGATCTTTGGGTCTTTTCCCCCGGCTCCTCACTAACTCCGTTACCGCCGACGGGCCCGTTACCGCCAGCCCCGGCCGGGCCCCGCCGCCTCACACCCCACCTCACGTGACGTCACGCCCCGCGCGCCGGACCACCTTCTCCCACAGCGAGGCGCAGGCCCCGCCCCCCTCGCCTCTGATTGGTGCATCCCCCGCCTCCCGCGGGGAAGCTCCGCCTCCGTCCCCGCCCCCGCGCTGTCCCTCACGGCACCGCCTCGCCTTGAGCCCGGCCGCCCTCTTAGCCCCGCCCTACCGGCGGCTTTCTCCAATTGGAAGAGGGAGGCGTTGACCGACACTCGTGCCGCCCAATGGAACGCGGCGCTAACGAGGCGGGGGGGCGGGGCAGGCACCTCCCTCCGCAGGCGGCGGCGCTCCCTGACTGAAGGGGCCGGGGGCTCCGCCGTCCCCCCGCGCCTCAGCGGTACCGGAGGCGGCCGCCGGCTGAACCGGGGCCGAGGGGCTCGGGGGTGCCTTCTCGCCGCTCCCCGACCCCGCGGCACCCCCTCGCCGCTCGGAGCGGGGCGGCGGTGCCCCCTCCCCGGGCCGGGCCTACGGGCCGCGCCCCGCCGCCGCCGCTACCCC